TTCAAGACAACGAACTCAACTGACATTCCAATGAACTCAGGATTTGAATTTAAACTTTGTACCAATGTATTCCTTCATTGTGTAGGATCAAGAGAATATTTGAATCTCATTTCTATTAGCAGGCTACCTTGCATAAGTAATCACTAATGATACCCAATCTTCTTCTGTGCTGAGGACAGGCTGAATGGGATTAATATATTATTAGGAGGAACTGAATTTCCAATTAAGTGCCTGGATACTTTGTTCAACCGTGATTTGTGATGTTGAAGACTCATCTGGAATTATAGGCTTGCAATTATTATTATTATTATTTTTAATATTAGTCTGCTGTTTTTCCATTTACATTATCTAAATTATATGAGTTTTTTCTCAAAGAAATTCAGCAAGCACCAAACCTTCTGAGTGAGAAGGAATTACTATCGATTATGTAAACCAACCGTCTCTCATCCAGAGCACAACACAAGCTACCCCTGGAGGTGGCAGCACGAATGACACCTGTCACTGCGGCTGCTTTGTGAGCAGTAACTGTGTCTAAACAGAGCTGTTAACACTGGGATAGGGTTATTCTGGCAGTCTCGCAAGATATTTTGTTACCAAGGGCATCTTCACACTTAATAAAAAAGTAGAACAGGCAATTAATTTCATTTCTTCAATCTTATAACCTTCTACATATTAATTTAAATTACCAGCAATACTTGAGCATTCAAAACTTGAAAGGACTAATAAGATACGATAAAAATGGATAACTTCCTTTACTGATTTGATATCAGATTTACAGCAGTTCGGTCTGTTATACTGTCCAACTGAGCATCTGTGAGTGTTAGATCAGCTGGAAGTCTATCCATTTAAATCCTAAATCTGTGCCTCTGCCTACCTCAGTTAAACAACCAAGCTCCAGAAGGTTGAGGGGAGCTGAAAACACAGTGAAGAACAGAATAGAAGGCAATTAGTGACAGCTGATCAATAACTTGGAGTCTTATAGTTACAGACCACAACAAATAGCTTTTAGATACTCAAAAGCTAGAGCAGAATCCAGAGTTTGGGGGTGGAGGGGTGGGGTGGGGGGAAGGGAAGCAGTGCAGAAGAAAAAAAGCACTTAAAAAGTTCAGCACAAACAGGAGGAGTGGAATGAGAGCTTCTCAGGGTGTGAATATGTCCTAAATACTAAATCCTAATGCCTGGGATAGAAGTACCTGCAACTTCTCAGAGCTGCAGGGAGCGCCCTCATTCACTGGAGATGCTGTACAACACTTTGTTGAGGTGGCGATACTGTCCTTCTGCACACAATTTGAGAAGTTATTCTCACTTTCAAGGCATGATGGAGATGGTGCTGCATTGTTTACAAAGGTATCTGCATCATGCTTCAAAAGAGTCTTTTTAGCCTGTTTCTGCCACAGTGTCATTGCAAATAGGGATTTATTTTTTTATTTGCTAAGCTAATCCTCCATTTAAACTTACTTCAGAGAGAATTCACTGGGCAGCCTATAAGATACTTTATATTTCAGTCGCCATTCGGGCTTCTCTTTAAAAATATAAATTACGGCACTTGCAAACGTAGTTAGCTGCCATCATTCACAACTTCTAGCCAACTACAGGCAATATACCCGTAACCATACAGGTCTGGAACAAAAAGCATGGCACTAATATGTAAAATAAAACTCACTGTCTCCTCAAACGATTAAAAAAGAAGTATATTTACATTTTGTTGCCTTTAAATTACTTTTGCAAGTGTTGTATCATATATGGATAGACAGAATATGGTGAAAGGAAGCTGCAGATACCAGACCGTTGCAGTATGTTTTATTTCCTCTTATCACGAACATTCTTTGTGTCCTACATTGTTAATTTGCTTCATTTCTTAATAACTTTACCAAACCTCCATATTTCTGTTGATACAGAAATATATGCACAGTTTTTACACAACAACGACCAAACATAACTACAACTTCTTACTCTGATTCTTGTATGGAAAGCCTCCGGTGTATTTCTGGATGATGCAACATGTTAGTTGTCACAAGTGTAAACAGGCTCATCCTTGACCAGGTAAATCAAGATTAAGCTACAATCAATTCCACCTACAGAAGTTGCTTCAAATTTCACAATTTTTTCACATTTAGCGAGGAAAGAAAATAATGGTCCGAGGACCACTTTTCAACCCAAGAGGTAAAAAAAAATAATAAATGTGATAAGGGAATGATGGAAAACTCTTTTAAAAAAGAAAACAAAAAAGCCTGTCCAAATTTGTGGAAATAATTTCGTTCCACACCTAGTTTTACTTCCATTGTAGTGAGCAGGATTTGTGTGAAGGATTCACTGCGTTTCAGTTTCACGTTTGCAGTGTCAGGGACTGTAAAACCCTTGCTGGAGCAATTTCTGAGATTATTCTACGATTCTGAGAGAAGCTGCATATGTGGATTTTGCCAAGCAGCTGCAGTGGCCCTCACAGAAGTGTCTGCAACTCTCTGCTTCAAAAGAACGGTGGTACCTTTCAATTCTGCCCCCTCAGCGTCTGCTGGGGATGCGATGCATCATGCAAGGACTAACTTTGGACCGCATGAATGCAACACAAAAGAGGAAGAACATCAACTTCAGCTACAAAGTGTTATTTCCCTTCTCTTACACTTTCAAATCTGGTGAAAAATATGATGCAATCCTATGCAATAGTTCAGGGCAACCAGCACCAGCCCTCAAACTTATAACCACTATTTAGGAAGAGTTGCTAGAAGCAGCAGATGCCATATCACTCCGCATGCTCCTTGCAAAGAACATCCTGCCATAGCCTGGCTGAAGATAAAGAAGCAGGTACGCACCCTGAGCCTGGCACAGTACAGGAAACAACGACCAAAACTGAGCTGTGACTTTGTTGTTTGAATAAACTGTCCCTGAGAAATATAAAAACAAGGCGCAAGAAAAAGAAGTGGTATTTACTAAACAGGGAAAGTGCAGAGGGCCACCACAAATTATTAAAAGGTAAATACATGTTATTGTTTAAGTAACTTCTCAAATAACCTCCATACATTCTAAAGGGAATAAGATTTCATTTATTAAGAATTACTCTGTAACTGATCTAACTTCTTCACTCCTATTTAGCTAATATTGTTATGCATGGGATTTGTGCCAATATTCTGAAAAAAACGTTATGAAATTAGTCTTACAGTTACAAATATGTTGCATTTAAAAGACCGAAAAATTAATTGGCTAATGTTTACAGTAATGATGTAGCTTGGTACGTCTGATGTAATTTCTGCTTAATACTTTTTTAAAGGTTCAAAACTTCCTATAGTATTTGTACGTTTTTGAGATAACATCTAATTCTGTATTACATGGCAAACGTGCCATTGTACTTAGCACAGACATCCCGCTTAACAAAATTCTGTTTTTTCTGTGTCCTCCAAATATATACCCACGGATATAAAATCAATAAAAGGACTTTCTTCAGTCCTGAAGGCGTAGGATAAAGCTTCCCGCTGTGGCAGCACTGCCCCACGTTTCACCTTTACCTTTGCCCAGCTGAACTGGCATGCTTTCGGACTTCATCATCCTCTGCTGCTGTGCCTGGTGGTGCTGCTGGTGGTGCTGGTGGTGCTGGGGGGTTTCCACTGTGCCTCTGATGGGCATTGCAGGGGGAGGAAAGCTGCTCCCACCGGCAGGAGCGCCCACAGCCCCACCTGAAGCCATAGCTGGAGCAATGAGCTTTCGGCCAAAATTCAGTAAGCTGTTGGAGACTTTGTTAATGTTCAGTGGGGCAGCCTTAGCACTGGCGCTGGAAAGAGAAGAGGACAAATCATCGCACCCTCGCCAACGGTTTGGACTGACATAGCAATGCATGCATTGTTCTCCAAAAACGGGGGAAAAAAAAAAGTCCAAGATGTGAACGCTACACAGAGGGCGTTTCATTGCAGTTGCACTGGAATACACACAGGAACCACAGGGACCGCATGTGGCACCAGTTTTTCCCAACCGGTAGCAAGCAAATTTTTTTGGCCCTTTCTCCCTGAAAAATGCAGACTAACCCCAAACAAAGCAAGTTTGTACTGATTTTCTTAATTTGCCTTTTCAAATGAAAATAACTAAATAAATAAATAATGAAAACATGGCAAAAAGCAATCCAGGCTCTAAAGCATTGAAAATTTCATAAAACTCTTTTTGCACTTCTCTTTCAAAGACTGCTTTAATATTTACTTCTGCTAGATTAAATTCTCTTAAACATTTAAAATAACTCAAACCCAAACATTTTTTTCAACAGGCAAAACTAACACTAGACTGTATTTTTAGGTTGGCAGAGTTAGATGTCTCTTGCTTTTACTTCACCTTCTGCCCAGCCCTGCCGTTTCAAGCCAAGCGCTTTTTAACGGGAATCCTGATTTCAAAAGTGATTTTGGCTGAAGAATGGCTTCAGGATATTACATGTATACTGGATCATGATCCTTACCATTGTTACTTTTTATTTTAAACTACAGTGGCTATTTAATTAACTTCAGTTATATGCAACATTAAGAATGAGGAACTTGTCGAATCATTTAATCTGTCTACAATAAAGAGGCAAAGAAGCTTCTAATTCCCAGTGGAAGTGTTCATGTAACCCAGGGATCAGCAAAGCCACTCCTATTTGTTCATGCAATGTTTTCCTGATTTACATAATTAATACTTGAAATAGCCTTCACAGAAATATATCACAATCACAGAGACCTTTCCACTCCTGAGGTTTCATTGTACTGATCTGTACTTCAGTGATATCAATAGCTGTGTTTGAAATATTTGAAGAAATACATGTAATTAAAAACAATACAATCATTGTACTGGGGAAAAAATAGTTTTGCAATGTTTTGGGGATGTTTAACTAAAAATAAATGACAAATGAATTAATATGGGTGACTTGTAACTTGTGCAGGCACCTGGAAAAGTGATTTTGATTTTGCTTTTCATATCATTTCCTTACTTGTCTCCAGAAATGTTTTTTTAGAATACACAATATAAATACACACACGCATATAGAACATATCCAGAAAATAACAACAGCTGAGTTGTTTAGATTCAGAATAGATACAGTTAAAATGAGAAAAAGCAGAAGAAACTATGTGAGCCTGCACACTCACGAGATACAGCTCCAAGCTGTATGGGCCCCTTCTGCTATATACTGGTGATGAAGAAAGGCAGCACGTAGCATTTTATAGGAGGAACAGCAGTGCAGAGCCTGGGACAACGTGCTGCTTCCCAATTTATGGAAGCTGGAAAGCAATGATTGCTGAATAACGATTACAGGACCTTTCTGTGTCTCCCCATTTTATTGATTGCTGCCAATACTACAAAAAGCTTTTCCGTAGCCACCTGAGAACGACCGACAAAGTCACTACAAAGACAGCATCTTCAGAACTATAAAATGCTCTTGCAGGAGTCCCAAATGGTTTCAAAAGCAAACTGAACAGGTCCTAATGATTTTAAAGAAGAGGACATGCAAAACGTGACTATTAAATTTTACGCGGCCACTACCTAGCAGATTCATTTATTAATCAGTTCCCCAAGGTATTGCAGAGACACTTAGGGGAAAAAAGGATTTTTTCTATTCCATCACATATATGAGGCATCAGAAGAGTCAGCACAGGACCTTCTGTTTAATGTCTTCTCCATTCCAGACAGAAAACAAAGATTATAGCTTTGAAGGTGGAAGAAGAAATGCCAAATGCTGGCTTAGCAGATATCAAACAGTTATCAATAGTTTGCAATGAATCTAATTACATGACTGATTTCGTGGGTCATACCAGTAATAACTTGCTTGAGATTCAAAATCCAAACTTGAGTATATTGAAAATATTTTTTTCCCTTGGTCTACTGTAAGTAACCACCGAGATTGGGATGGTATATATCACTCACTCACCTGAAACATCACCTTAGAAAAGAAGACAATGGCTTGCATGTTGAGTCCTAGGTTTGTGTTGTCTCTAGGTCTAGAGCCTTTGACAATCAGTACAAAAAAACCCCTCGACTTTGTGCAAAAAAATGATATTTACTGGAAGTAAATCTTTCTCTCTGACAGGCTACTCAAGCAACAAAGCCACTGGACACTTTGAGCTAACTGCGTCATTGAAATCATGATGGTCCACAGATGCAGCTGAGAAAGCTTATGCAGAGGCTTGTGTATTTGTGTCCACCAGCTTGTTTCTTTCTTGTTTCTCTTTTTCAGCTATATTTTGCTTAATAAAAAGTATCAGTTTTCCTTCTACACTGTTTAATTTGCTGCTTTGACATATATGTAAACCAGGAGAAGTTAGTTTATTTGCATTTTTCAGATGGTTGGAAGAAGACCTTTTTTGAGAAACATCACTTTACACCAAAAATCTTCTCTAAGCTGTTATGTCTGAAATATGATTTTAAAAAATGCTTCCAACAATAATGTGCAATAATGTTTTATAATTATCTGAGAACAAGAAAGGATATTTATCGCAGCTCCTACGTGTGATTTGGCTCTGCTATGAACCGACACTGCTAATGATCAGTCCACAACACAAACGTATACACATACATGAAAAATAAATAATGATGCTATCTAAATTTCTGGTCAAGTGGCGGTCTCAATAAAAGTATTCTGAAGTAAAATTTATTGTGCAATTTCTCTGAATCACAGCTTCAGAAAATGAACAATAGCGAGGTGCTAGATCTCTGGAGGAGACAGGTTAAAACTGAGCTGAAGTTCAGGAAAATAAGAACAATGTATCTATTTCTTACCATTTAAATGTCTGATATATTAATGCAAAGGATGATTACAGCCATTAAAGACGGATCAATGTCTACATTTTAGCCATCTAAATGTACCAGACATGCACAACAACTAGAAGAAAAATGCTGATTGATTATGTTGTAGAGTTATCAGCAGATGCATTTAAAAGTAAGGCATCAGTTTAAAAATATGAGTATCAAGGAGACGTGAATTCCATCTATGAAGCAAACAATTTTGTTTCATCACAATAAGCATCATTGACCTTGACTGTGAATGGTGTATTTTTAAACTAGCAGTAGGAAGATGATTCAATCTCTGCAGTTTTCTGCTAAGATGAAAATGTTTTGTTTTAAGCAAGCCTTACTCAAAGGCATTTCTCTCTTCAGTAAGTAGCCATTATGAGAGATGAGAGACAAATATATGAATATGATGGATTAAAAAGTTTTATATGTGATAAAATAAGCAATATATATCAGAGATTTGCCAACCTATTTAAAATACATCATTGAGTCTGTGGAATTAAAGATGAAAAAGACCTAGTAGCTCATCTAATCCATCTCTCTGCTCACTGCAGAAATATTTCCTAATGTTACATTTTTCCAGTTCTCTTTTTAGTCCAATCTTAAACAGATTTAGCACATTTGACCTACTCTAAATGTTCCCGTGTTGAGATAAATTTATCCCAGTTATTCCTCTATCTGAACTGTTCTAAACAATTCCTCCTCTCCTTTGGTATGTATACTGTACATAAGTGTGCAATGAATTTATATTCCTACACAGATTTAATGGACATTTGTTTCCTTAGAATTTAGGTTTCCAACAGGTGTCATTCCTGTTTGGGCTTTATGTTTTATTTATTTTTTCAAAATCCTGGAAATGTTTCTTTTGGAATTTTCAAATAACTTATTTTTCAAATTTAGGCAACTCTTGAGATCATTTTTTAAAAGAATAAAACAACAAAAACATGAAGATAATGCATTAGAGTGCTGTAAATTTTGACATCCTTCCCAAGTTAAAAGCCTTGTTAACAAAAAAAAAAAAGACCCTTTTGCAGTCACTCTGCTTACCTTTCATTTCTGCTCCTTTGTCCATTTTAAGAGCACAGGCACCTCTATGCTCATGACCACCAGATAAAATGGGCTTGACGAGGAATTTAAGTGGTATTGATACAAACCGTTTCTAAAACAAGGGAGGAATGGCGCCGAAAGGTTTCGTAAAAAGTACTTCAAACTGGATTTACATTAATTCAATTTAACTTACAGAGCTTCTGGTACATGGATACTCCAGATTGCGATTAGATGTGTTATCGGAAGCAGTTCAGCTATAAAACCCACATTGGCAACGTTTTACCCCCTGCTTTTAGTATACGCGTCATGGTGTACGAATGTCCTTAGCCTTAAAAAAATGCCAGTGAGTTGACTGCAACACTATCTGTAAAACTTTCATTTTCTGTGTAATAATAGGTAAGGTAAAGATTCAAAATAAACGTCATGAAATAAACACACGTGCTTCTAATACTGCTTATTTAATTCCTGTTTGGGATAAAAGTGACTTATGAAACATTTTGTTTATGTAAGGTGTTTGTGCAGTGAACACATATTCAGAAATAGCTTACCGGGTTTTGTTCATCAAGTCTGCTCCACGTGCTTTGTAATAATCTAAATTTTGTTGGAATTGATGAGTCACTGGTCTTGGATTTCTCTAAAAAAAAGAAAAAAAATTTAAAAAATAGTACCTTATTGGAATTTTCTGAGATTTAAAGCAGAGACAAAAAGTATGCTTATTAATGAAGATTAGAAATTTCAAGAGTAATTTCTTTTCCCAGTATTTCGGTTTCTCAAGGCAGTAATGCCAGTTACATAAAAGTGAGGTCTTAAAATAATTAAAATAATACCAACTGTTACCAGTAAGTCCGCCCCGTGCCCACAGAAAATAGTGTTCTTCCACACAACGATGGGGCTGTTGGCTGTAGTGGTAACATTTCTAACTAAATCCATAATTCCTGGAAAAGTTCAGCTACGGATACGAGTTCTTTCTGTAGCTCAGGTATAGAATTTTACCACCTGCAAGTGATATGTTTTTAAAGAAAATGGTAATAGTAAAGAGAAACTATAAATAACCTTTTAAACTGAATGCATCACTAGCAGTGTCTTGGTTAAGCAGAGAAATTAAATTTAGGGAGACAACCTGATCCCTGCCACTAGATGGCACACGGAGCCTTTTTTCTCTCCAAATTTCACCCTGCTCAAAACACGAGGCCACGAATAAAGACCTGTTCTCCTATAATAAAATGCAGATAATTAATACTGAAACCAGAAGCCACTTGTTAGCCTCCACCTCTGCCACAATGACACTATTTCGCTGAAGCTGCCTTCAGTAGTTCTGAAATCATCCTTTTTGGATCTAATAATCCACCGAACATTGATTAAGTGTAGACTACAGCATATGCATAAAGCATCTTGATTGAACAAATGCAACCTGAAGGACATTATTTGGACGTGGAAGTCAATATTTTTAAGTAAAAAAATCTGCACACAGATGAAACCAAAATAACAGAAAGGTACTGAAAGGCTCTTTAAAAAAAATAAAATATATATACATATTACTTTTTTTTTTTCTGGAGCAAGAGAAAACAAAATAGAAAATTTCTGCATAATGATCGGGTATGTTGTACACAACGGATCTAAATAATTTCCAAGTACTTCCTTTAAAGGTTTATTCATTCATAGGCTGGTGCCTTATATTCTGATCTGCCTTCTTGAGTCCTGCTAGTAGTAAATATAGTTTTAATAAACTACGCAGCAATCTTTCTGAAACAGTAGGTCACAGGTGAAAGTACATTATATTTCTGATGGAGTCAGTCTTCAGCTGTTTCAGTTTCACATGTTGCATTTTTGCCCTCCGGATTTCATTATAGACTAGAGTATCCATAGTCTTATGCTCTCATTTTCCACACAACTGCAGATAACGCTCCTTTCTTGCAAACCTTATTTTTGGAGAAGGATATAGGAGTTGCATGTGAAAGACCAAAATATTGCATGTGCACAAAAGGAGAGAAGAAGATTCAAAGAGGTGGTAGATTTCAAAGGCCAGGATGATTTGTGAGGTCAAATTTAAGGCTGGGAATTTCCAGATTGTTTCCTGCAGTCAGACTTAATCTTGTATGAAATGTCTCATTTTCTTTCTTTGGAAACACATTAAACATTTTAAAAATATATCCTGTTTGTAATGTTCATTAAAAAATGAAACAACTAAAAGCTATTAGACAAGCATTAAAAAAACCCCTCATCTATCCTACCACCCACACTGTAATGGCCGTTCTATGTTTTTCTTCTCCAGTTATAAAAACAATATTTGCATAACTCTACCCATTCATATGGCTTGTAAGTCAGTCCTCATCAACTGACAGCAATAACAATGAATCAGCTTTAGTTACTATTGCTCTAGTTTGGTAATTCAATGCATTTCTATGATAATCAAATCCAAACTGACGTGATGAGGATAACTGATGGTTCTGTGACTACTATGCAAGTAATCAAACAGTGTAACTTTTCTCCTGTGAATTAAAGAACTTTTTTCTTTACCTGTCTTGATGACCATTTCAACAAGGTGGAAGAGTAAGGGATGGTTAAAAGAACAGACACTCCTAAGCCATAAGACAGCCCTTTGAAAAATTCACGTTACCAGATGCTAGCCAGTTTCGCAATTTATTTCCAATAGCTCAGTATATATTTTAAACTTAGCAAAAACATTGAAATATCTTTTCCACCACTCAATAAATAAAAAAAAAAGGATTATTACACATTGCTTCTGAATAAAAAAGAGGAAAAGATCATGTGGAACGGTATCTTGAAACATACTTATGCACAAATGACAAGCAATTCAAGACACGAAAGGCTGATCTACTATCTAAGCACTTAAAGCCATTAATAGGAATAATGATCTAACTCGAACATATGAATGAGGCTCAAGCATTACTTTCACAGGGGCCTATTTAAATTCCTATGAGGTTTAAAGGTATCAAAGGAAGAAGCAGTTTAAAGTACTGTTACATGCAGTGAAAAAAAAGCCCTCAGAAAGAATGCTGTTGAAAAAACATTAGAAATGCAAGACAGTAAATACCAAGGGTTACTGCTGCAACTCCCTTTGTAACACTACAGATATCCTTTTAGAAAATTTCATTATTTACAAAAAAACAATCAGACATATAAGTTAGCAAACAAGTATCTGTGAAGTATCAACACAGAAATTTTAAATACTTCTGAAAACTGAAATTCAGACAGCAAAAAATATGGTTTTATGAAGATTATGATCTTTATGTCATTGTAGTTGTCTTTTAAATTTTATATTCTTTTTAACCATTTCAATAAGTTAAATATAAGAAGAAGAAAGGAAAACCTACACGATTACAATGTCTCTTCCTTATGAATTTTAAACTAATCCCCCCAGTTTGAACTGTCCCCTATATTATATTCTATGTACTAGGATTGAAGACTAAACAAATTTATTTACAGCAAAACATAGCTCTGTTTAAAACATTCACAGTAACCATATTTTTTTTTCCTGCACAGTGCAATTTGGAATGATCCTACTTGTATTTTTAATTACTTAAGCAAATAAAGTTTTTCCTTTTCTTTTTCAATTTATGTAAGTATTTTGACTAGTACCTCAGATAAAATCTTTTTTCTGAAAAGGATAACGTTAAAATGACAGTGAATCAGCCCTTCAAATTAGGAGTTTGTTGAATCCCCCTATGAAATTGTGTAAGGACATTATACAGATCAACATATTTATGTTTTTCCCCTTCTGAGGAAAAGAAAGTGCAGAAATTGGAGAGAAAAGCTGCCTGTGCCAATACTAGAAATCCCTCTTCCCCACACCCATTTTGTAGGAGCAGTCTGTTGATTTTATAATTCTTCTAATCTTAATTTCTCGCTAGAGCAAGCTTCGTTTCAACTGGTAGAGAATGCCCAATGTATACTTTTAAAAGGACAATGTATGAAATTCAGATACAGAAGCACACATAGAAATTGATGTGATTTTGGACTTCACCTCTTCAAAATGTTATTAGCCGCAGCCTAAAGGGAACAGATGCCTTAAAATGTTTCAGGTATCTCTGAGGTATTCCTGCCCCTGAGCCCTTCCTTCCCTAAAAGATGCCCCCCAACCCCCATTTGCCTGCTGAAGTCCTGTATCGCCTCCTCCTGCTTCTGTTCCCAGCCACCACTGGACTGACTCACTCTTGATTCCCACAGCTGGCAGGAGGTTCTTGGGTACCCTCTATTTGGGTTTACTCTCCTCCAGGGACATGGGGCTGAGTTAATTCATACCCACACCTGCTCTTTTCCTAGGTGGGGGGATGAGGCCATGCTCAGAATCAAACCGAACGCAGCAGAGATTCCCTAAACTTGCATAAACTGCTGAAATGCAATTCCCACCAGCTAAGGATCACGCTCCATATGCTCAAATTCCCTAGTATAACCCTTTTCCTCCCTGGCCTCCGGAGACATATCGCATCACGTTACCCACGGAGTAGATATGATATAGCAAAGCAGGCTTGTGCGTGACAGAAGTCACAGGCAGACTGTTCTACAACACACCAGGAAAACCAGGTTACTGCCGCAATGTAACGTTTCACCATTTGAATACACATTATTTGTCAAAGTTTACACGCAGGTGCAAGTGGAGGAATCTCTACAACACTCTGCTTTCTTCTTCGTTGAGGTATTTCCACCTCCACCCCTCCCAGTATTATTAACAGGAAAAAAAAATCAAATGCAATCTTGTGCAAAATCTGAAGGTTCAGAATAAGAGACAACAATGAAAAAAGATTTTCAATATGTCTGATGAAAAATGAGACTTATTTTAGTGAACATGCTATTGCCTCAATGCCAAGGGAAAAGCACTCGTCATTAGAGAAATGAATTGCTCAGCTGTTTATAAGCAAAAAGCTCTGGGGGAATTTCTCAAGGCCCAAACCACAAAGCATTGCAGGGTTACACAAACATATGTTGCAGGTGTTTTAGGGTAGACAGGTGGGAAAACCTCAGCTACTGAAAAATACTCCACTTAATAGATTGTATCTGAAACTAGATAACCTAAATGCAACAGAGAAAAAACCAAACAAAACAGCAGCAGTGAATTATACATACACGCAGCAATAGGCTTACCAAAATAATCATCTCACTAGTGCCAAACGGGATTTTTTAAAAGTAGGGGTTTTTTTTTCAATATATTAAACAAATGCTGCCAAACGTATATCTTTTTTTTCTAAACTAATAATATTTTAAGACTAAACCACAGAACAGACTGAACTAAATATATATAAAAAAAAAAGAGAAGGATAATGATGCAGTGTTGTTCTTTTTATTTAAACAAATATTTTTAAGGAGCCAGTTTGCTCATTTTTACCCTCTTCAGCTGACAGGGAAATATTGGATTTTTTTCAAAATTCCCACACAGCCTAAATTTTTTTTATTAAAAATCTTTTCTTTCCCTTTTCACTTGTTTCCAATAAAGTTGGAGGAGCATATGACTATATTCAGTAATGACTGCTCAGCAAAGGTTTACCTTTTCCTTCTAGATCACCTATATTTCTTTCTTCAATAAAGATTATACAAACATGGCAAAAATTTGGACTGGGAACAGAGCTGAAATATAGCAGCTGAGATGTGGATAAGGAATACAGTTTGTTCAGTTCG